CTTCTTCTCTCTCATTCTCCTTCCTTTCTCCACACTGTTGTCTGCACCACATCTGCCCCCCCCCCACCCCATTAACCCCAACAGCCCATGTGCATGTTATTAAACTATTTATGCTCATTTATATAGGCCCCCTTCCATCCCTGTGCACTCAGATCTTTTAATTCATCCTTAGATATTTCTTGTCCTTTCCATCTCCACCCTCGTTCTTACAGTCCCCCATCCTTTCTTCTTTTGATTTCTTAATTTCTTTCTTTCTTAAACTAGGTCATATTATAAAGGGATTGTTCAATTTGTGTTGGTTATTTCTCAACACTCGCCACAGATTTACTTGTTAGCTTCCAGCTAGCAACAGCTTTTGGTTTCAGTGAGGACATTTTGAACTATTTTCCCTCTGTGGCAAGTGCTTGAAGAAAATTAACCATGTAAATTAAAGTTTTGAGAGTTCATTTAACCCCCTAAGATTAGATGGACATGGATCTACAGTGAGTAAAGTCTTAAACAGCTGTAGAAGACAAGGGGGAAATCCATTTTTTTCCATTCCCTTTCGGCTTCATTGTGTTTTTGTCTGCGTTCACCCAAAGCCAGCCAGGCGTCCTGTCTACCTTCACATGTCATCTTTGTATGTATCGCATGGCCATATTGTAAATCACCTGCCAAAAACTTTTCTTAAATATAGCGCAGAGAAAGGCAAGATGTCAAATCTGAGCAAAATATGTCTGCATATAAATTCAAAAATGGGAACTGGCTGAAGCTTCTTCACTTGACATGACAGATACTTAAAAGCAGCCACAGAAACAGAAATGTTTTTTTTTTATTTTTTCACCTTTTTAAAAACATATTGAAGTATTGATTTACTGGGATCTGAGAAAGGTGTCTAACAGAGACAGAAGGGACAAGGGGCTGGATAAACTGAAACATCCAGTCAGTGGGACGCCAGCAGATGTCGTCGCCCATTAGCAATGATGCTAGCAAATAGTCTTCGGACTTGTGGTTGTTAATGTCACAACTACAAACAGCATTTTCTTTGTTTGAAACAAAAAATGGAGGGTCATTTGTTTCTGTACTGTGCCTTTAAGAATTTGAACTTTGTCTCTTATTTCTGTTTTTATTGCCATAATAAGTAACTGGCTACAAGTATTGTCCAACTGTGACTAAAAATGAGTATTTAATGTCATGTATGGGTTTAAACATGTTTTTCTTTATTTCTATTTGGAAGGAAACAAACTAGGCTTGAACTAAATCAAACCTTGGCAAAAAAAATAAAAACTAAACAAAAACTGCGATGAGGAAACTCAGAGATTTCTTATCCGTCTATTGGGATTCAAATTTCTCAGAAGGTCTCTAATGAGCTGATTCCAAAAAGCATAATACCACTGTAATCATATTTCAAGATTCTTTTGATATACCCTCATCCAAAGTGACTAAAATGGGTCGATAAGAGAACACTTTTGTCTCGTTCAAAGTTGCATTAATTACAAAATAATACCTCCTATCTTTACTTGCGGAGATAACTGCTGTGGTTTTATGCTTTTTGAAAACCAAGTCCTACTAATTGACCTATAAGTCACATCTACAGCTCTGGTTTGAGCTCGAGTCTGGGTTTCTCAAGGCCATCTTGTCACTAATTGTTGGGTCACATTATGTCAGTCGCAGAGCCACTGAGAAAGAATTGGGTGTATCCGTGCAGCAGCAATCATGTTATGTTACAGCTACTAATCAATCAGATATGCGATTGCAAATGTAGGCATGTTCCTCAAACCTTGCAATCATAACAGTTTCAGTGTCAGTTCTCCAGGGTAATATTAGCCAAAATGAAATATATTCACAGCCTGATAATTATCTATGCTTGTTCTCTTTGGTACTTGTGACCACATCTAGCGTTGGTGTCAAAGCAAGGAGTAGCAACATTTTTGGGGTGCAAAAATTAAAACCATTATATGGCTGCTACTAAAACAACAGTTATCAAATTGTATCACTGGCTGTGGCTCTTCTACTCTTAGTGCCACCATGCTTTTGGGAAACTGGCTCCGCTTCCACCTCAAACATTGAAACCCTTGTTTGCCAAAAGCTTCTTTCAAGGGGGATACACAACTAAAAGGCTAAAAGAGTTCAAAATGTTCTTGCTCACTCTATCCTGGAGAGTTACATGAAGAGTCTTCTCTAAAATAAGTCATTCCAGTTTATTCGTTGGGTCTTTAAGATCTGCCGAGGTCAGGGATAAAAGTAAAGAATTGGATAATCTATAAGCCTAACCTATCACAGCAGGGACAGCTCGGGCTTTCTAGAGGATATGCCACTCCTTCATAGCACATTTTAACCATGTCCTGTCGTACAGTACTTTGAGAAAATCAGGCACTATTCCAGCCGTGTTCATAGGACAGGACCGGCTGGAAAAGGCACTACTTCCTTGGATTATGTGTTGGAGGTTTGAGATGTGCCCAAACTTTGCTCTTCGCACTCACGAACGAAATGAAGCTACTCAGCTCCTGTTTAAGCTTGCTGGGGCATACATTCCTATTCTTAGTAGTGATTCACCAGATATAAGCTTCATTGTTTTTTGTTTCTCAATGGCCTTGTAATTAAGTCCATTTCTCTGTTGCAATGTTTCAAAGTACTCAGATGACACAAAAAGCACAGAGATTAACAACTTTTAAAGGCAGCATGCCACATTTTTCCAAGTAAGCTTTTACTCCAGCAGGCTCTTGACACGCGGAGTTGTGGACTGATGCTGTTATAAACTTGCGACAGCACCACAGAAAAGCACGACACTTTCCGCTTACTATACCTCGACTACTACTTCTGTATGTATGTGTTGTCAAATGACGCTTTGGCTTGCATTGTTTGTTTAGCCCGGCTAGGAATGTTTAAAAGATACTCAGCTCAGCATAGTTGTAAGATATAGGACAGATAAAGTGTGCTAGTGTTAAAGTGGCATAACAGAACTGTAAATCGTGTTCCAACATGTATTTTTTGACGTAATCCTTGGTTAGCCCTGTCTGGCACTGCTGTGGAACCAGGCTCCAAGGGGCAGTTGACCTGTACCCAGGATGTCCATGTTTCACCCCTGATTTGAACTCCTAAATGGAACTCCACTATACATTTGGACAGTTCAGTGGCAGAGCGCCAATCCCCCACTGTGTTAATTAGCAGCAGCAGAATAATTAAAAATAACAAAATGCTCTGTTGCTACCTGGTGGGGGGGAAATCGTTATTTTTCATCAGGGTCTTAATTTGTTTTGTTTACTTGAACAACTTTAGTGAAATAAAAATATAGATTCAATGTAAATAGTTCAACTCTTCTTAAAACGGAAAGAGAAGAATCTCCACTGAAAAAGAATGTGAATTGTAAATGAGAATAATTAAATGTGAATTATAAGTGGAACAACACTTGTGATGTGTAAAACATTACGTTTGATCACTCTACGTTGGACCAGGCAGTGTCTGGTTAGCTTAGTTCAGTGGGCAATTTGATTGGCAGATTTATTCTTTAAAGATATTATTTAAGGAAACTGCATGTTTACACATACATAAACCAGTAAAGCCAATTTATTTACCAATTAATGCTCACAAGGAAGATCTCAAATTGCCCACTGGCTTTGGCTTTGACAAATGACAAGGCTGGACCAAGACAATAAAACATATGCAAGTGTTGTTGTTTTTTGGTCAAGGAGTTAAAAAAAAAAACACCAAGCAAATAAATACAGTTCTACAGCAGACTTCAGTTATGTTAGAACTCTCTGATATTTCCCGTCTTCTATGATTTTTAGACTACTTTTTGATCACAGGTCATGTTTGGGTCAAACGTATTTCCCTCGAGTACAGTTAAGGTTTTGGGAAACTAGTTGGCTTTTGAAGAGTTTCAGGCTGAGTGATGCTGGAGGACTCGGGATTCAAGCAGACAGCAGGTCACATGTAAACTAGCCTTTTGGTATCTTAGTGAAAATCCACCAACTTTATTGTGTTTGTTCACCTTGTAGTGGTTAAAATGATGGGCCAGTAAAAGGGCATTTAAAGGGATGTTGCTACGTTTAAGGACAGTTGTCAGTGTTAGAAAAAAAATGGGCAGACACAGCACACTGTCCAAATGCTGCCTATGGCCACTTCAAAATGAACCAAAAACAGAAAATTATTTAGCATTTTCTTTTGTTAAAGTGTGGTTCAGCATTGTATAATTCAGGCTAAACTACAATGAGCACCAGTTAAAACATTAATTAAATTGTTGACCAGAACTGTGTTTTAGGTGTCCCAATAGATGATTTTAGCCATTTAACCAATCAAACATTTCGGTGGGCATGATATAAATAACCCTTTAATTTCTTCTGCAGCAATGGTGGATAGTCTCCATCTTAGATGTATTACATAAACTGTTGAAGACAATAAGTTAAAGATAACCGTGCAAAAAGACAATCAATTATGAAGGATTTTTTTTTACTCACTTTTTACTTTTTTAATAGTCTTGGGGACACCTTTACATGTAGCAATTTTCTTAACCAGCTGTCAAATTGGCAGTTTTTTTGAGAACTGTCAAATTTTAATGCACATCCAACTACTGTCCTCCATCATGGGGGAGAAGGATCTGCAGAGGCAGATAAATGCCAAACTGAAGTTCATTACCTTCCAGATGAAGATACACTCTGATTTTATTACAGCAACCAGTGGTTTCCTTCAATCTCAAAGTTCCCACCCAGATATTTGTTGTTTTGGAGCTCAAAGCATGAGGCACTGTTACAAAATCAGAGTCTACCTTTACATATTGACTAAATAAGACAATTTTAATGCCTGAATTGTCAACTGACATTGTCATATATTCCCTCTGTGAGAGGTGATATTGTTATAATTTGTTACTTGAATCCATGGCAATTGCTAACCACAAACTTAGTATGCATTCTCTTGTGTTTTA